GCCCGATGAACTGAGGAAGAAGAGAAAGGGTGGAGAAGCAGACAGCTTGGATGAGTTCCTCAAAGACCTGGAGAACCCTGAGGTGCCACGAGAAGAGGCCCTGTCTCAGCAACGAGACATCATTGGTAAGAGAGGCTGACACATACTGCTAACTACTATTTAGACCACAAGGCGCATGATAAAAGTTTGAGGACAATAAGAAGTAATGGTTGCTGAAAATGCAGCTTTGCCATAACAGGAATAAATTACATTTCAAAAATATATTCAAATAGAAAACAATTATTTTATAATGTAACAACATTTCACAATATTCCTGTTTTGTTGTATTTTTGAATAAATAAATGCAGCCTTGGCGAGCATAAGAAACTTCTTTCGAAAAAAAATCTTACCAACACCAGACTATTTAACAGTAGTGCACTAGTTTGTCACTGATGCCCATGTTTGGCGTTCTGCAGACCAGACCATCCTGGAGGAGCCCAGTGTTCTGCAGGCTTCAGCCATGGAGGGCAGTCACACGACCCTTGATGAATCAGTCATGCCTCCTCCATCTGGACCCTGTGGACAAAAGCGCAAAGCTCAGGACACAGAGCCTGCCTTACCTGTGAGATCTGAAATCAGATTTTTAGTGTGGGATTTGGACCCCACTCTATGTGGTTTGCTAATTTGGTGCTCTCGCTTGTTTTCTTGTAGATGCTTGAGGATGATCGTTCCTCCATTGTGTCCACACGGCACGTGAACATGCAGCAGGTGGACCTTCCACCTGAGGAACCGGGCAACATCTCACAGCTCATCCCTGAACTCGACCTGATAGGAGAGAAGAGCAAAGAGAAGAAGGATGATGAGGAGGAGGAGGAGGTGAGGAGGCTTTAACAAGCACTTTATTTTTTTAATAAGAAATCATGTTTAGTACAGCCAAACAATCTGCAGTCACTTTAACTTTTTCAGCACTAAGTATCATAATAGTACAGCTGTTTAAACTCAATTTTTAAATGCCCATTTTTGTGTATCATTTTTAATTGTGCTATTCCTGTGTATTTTTTTTTTTAATTAATCAGTTATTAAAACATCATATAAGGAATTTGACTATCTGGGCACTGGTTCTACTCGATTCCCATCAGATTACATCACTCAGTTAAATCTAAATTTTTGTTTCAAAGGAGGAGGAAGGTCAAAGCGGAGACCAGGATCAGGAGGAGAGGAAGTGGAACAAGAGGACGCAGCAGATGCTGCACGGTTTACAGGTTTGGCAGAATTTAAACACACACTACATATCGTGATAAACAAGATCTGTCAGGGCATATTTGGTGTAATATGAAGCATAAAATTATTTAATATCTATAAATACCCTTTTAATTCTTCCTCTTATTTTCCACAGAGAGTCATTGCTAAGACCGGTGCAGAATCGATCAGCTTGCTGGATCTGTGCAGAAACAACAACAAGAAACAAGCAGCTGCTAAGTTCTACAGCTTTCTCGTGCTAAAGAAACAGCAGGCAGTGGAGCTCAGGCAGGACGAGCCCTACAGTGACATCATCGCCACCCCTGGCCCCAGATTTCACATTATATAGACTTTTTATGGTCAACACTGGAAGATTTTAATAGTTTTGTTTGTATATGAAGTGTTATGTATTTCTGTGCATGTGCATTTTCATGCATACTACATGTGCACTCAGTCTCACATGGAAACAAAGACTTTTATAAGTGCTTCTTTTTGCCGTTTCTCAATACAAGCATGCACATTGGACAAAAAAGCTAAATGGTTCTGAACTGTTCTGACCTGGTTGAGGTTGAAAATATAATGCTTTTGTTCTCAAACTTACAGAAATGCTTATCTTAGAAAACCGAAATGGTCAGAATGGTGGTAGGTTTTCATAGGAAAGTACAAATCTAATTGTGGTCATTGAAGTGAAATTGCTCAGCTGTTGCCACTCCATTAGTTTGTTGTGCTCACTTGCAAAGACTTTGAGCCTTCAGTTTGTTCTTACTACGAATCTACATCTCCTCCAGAAGTCTGAGATCCGCTAGTGAGCGACGCCTCGTGGTACCATCACAGAGAGGCTCAAAATCACTTTCCAGAACATTCTTGTTCACCACTCCTGGCTGGTGGAACGATCTTCCCACCCCTATCCGGAAGTGGTAGGTTTTCATAGGAAAGTACAAATCTAATTGTGGTCATTGAAGTGAAATTGCTCAGCTGTTGCCACTCCATTAGTTTGTTGTGCTCACTTGCAAAGACTTTGAGCCTTCAGTTTGTTCTTACTACGAATCTACATCTCCTCCAGAAGTCTGAGATCCGCTAGTGAGCGACGCCTCGTGGTACCATCACAGAGAGGCTCAAAATCACTTTCCAGAACATTCTTGTTCACCACTCCTGGCTGGTGGAACGATCTTCCCACCCCTATCCGGAATGCTGAATCCCTGACAATTTTCAAGCGACAGCTGAAAACTCATCTGTTTCGAAGCTACTTGACTTCCTCATAAAAAAAATGTTTTTTTTAATTCTATCTCTTTACTTATTCCTTCTCTCTCTAGCTTGTACTTATTTGAACAATGTCTAGAAACTTGGTATTACAAGCACTTCCTGTATCTGTTTGCCTCTTTAAGAAGAATCGCTTTATGTATCCCCCAGTTGTAAGTCGCTTTGGATAAAAGCGTCTGCACAGTGACTAAATGTAAATGTTCTTTTTAATCACGTTTCCAGATGCTTCTGTTTCATTATTTAATGGGTCCTGTTGTTTTGCATGCTTTGAATTACATGTTGACACGCAACATACTTGTGTTTACTTTCATGAAAGTATTTTCTTTGTTTAAATGTAAAAGAGTAACATTTTAGCTGCTCCAAATATAAAAAAAACATAGTTTGTATGTTTATAAGATATATATTGAATGAAGTATTGGCCTACAGTGTGTTGTTTTTGTTTTTATTTTATTTTTTCAAAAACCTACTACATTATTTCCATAAATTCTCCCTGAGCTTCAGTGTTTTTCATTTACAAATTAAAATAAAATGTTATATACTGTGAAATGCATTTGTTAAAATAATGTTGTACCATTTGTTGTAAAGAAAATTTTTGTAATTGTGCAAGCACTTTTTAAGATGGTCCATAGGTCTTTGGTTTTATCGATGTTACCTGTGACAACTCTGTTTTGTATATCACAATAATTAAACACTTATCTGTTACAGTGCAGTAAAGTCCTTTTTTTAAATGCCTCAAAAACAGCTTGTTTTATTCATATTGGGATAGAAACATATTCATAACAGGTTACATTATTCTTACACATCAGGGGTTTTTTGCCTTTAGACCTGACTTGATACAACCGTGTTACGTTATTTTGTAATAAAAAGTAATTAAATCCCTTTGTCCCTTGACTGAATTGATTATTCAATTAGTCATCCGTGCGTTAGGCATTATATAGACTTTTTATGGTCAACACTGGAAGATTTTAATAGTTTTGTTTGTATATGAAGTGTTATGTATTTCTGTGCATGTGCATTTTCATGCATACTACATGTGCACTCAGTCTCACATGGAAACAAAGACTTTTATAAGTGCTTCTTTTTGCCGTTTCTCAATACAAGCATGCACATTGGACAAAAAAGCTAAATGGTTCTGAACTGTTCTGACCTGGTTGAGGTTGAAAATATAATGCTTTTGTTCTCAAACTTACAGAAATGCTTATCTTAGAAAACCGAAATGGTCAGAATGGTGGTAGGTTTTCATAGGAAAGTACAAATCTAATTGTGGTCATTGAAGTGAAATTGCTCAGCTGTTGCCACTCCATTAGTTTGTTGTGCTCACTTGCAAAGACTTTGAGCCTTCAGTTTGTTCTTACTACGAATCTACATCTCCTCCAGAAGTCTGAGATCCGCTAGTGAGCGACGCCTCGTGGTACCATCACAGAGAGGCTCAAAATCACTTTCCAGAACATTCTTGTTCACCACTCCTGGCTGGTGGAACGATCTTCCCACCCCTATCCGGAATGCTGAATCCCTGACAATTTTCAAGCGACAGCTGAAAACTCATCTGTTTCGAAGCTACTTGACTTCCTCATAAAAAAAATGTTTTTTTTAATTCTATCTCTTTACTTATTCCTTCTCTCTCTAGCTTGTACTTATTTGAACAATGTCTAGAAACTTGGTATTACAAGCACTTCCTGTATCTGTTTGCCTCTTTAAGAAGAATCGCTTTATGTATCCCCCAGTTGTAAGTCGCTTTGGATAAAAGCGTCTGCACAGTGACTAAATGTAAATGTTCTTTTTAATCACGTTTCCAGAAGCTTCTGTTTCATTATTTAATGGGTCCTGTTGTTTTGCATGCTTTGAATTACATGTTGACACGCAACATACTTGTGTTTACTTTCATGAAAGTATTTTCTTTGTTTAAATGTAAAAGAGTAACATTTTAGCTGCTCCAAATATAAAAAAAACATAGTTTGTATGTTTATAAGATATATATTGAATGAAGTATTGGCCTACAGTGTGTTGTTTTTGTTTTTATTTTATTTTTTCAAAAACCTACTACATTATTTCCCTAAATTCTCCCTGAGCTTCAGTGTTTTTCATTTACCCAAAAGCAGCTTTAGTTTTGCTTGTCAGACAGACAAATTAAAATAAAATGTTATATACTGTGATATGCATTTGTTAAAATAATGTTGTACCATTTGTTGTAAAGAAAATTTTTGTAATTGTGCAAGCACTTTTTAAGATGGTCCATAGGTCTTTGGTTTTATCGATGTTACCTGTGACAACTCTGTTTTGTATATCACAATAATTAAACACTTATCTGTTACAGTGCAGTAAAGTCCTTTTTTTAAATGCCTCAAAAACAGCTTGTTTTATTCATATTGGGATAGAAACATATTCATAACAGGTTACATTATTCTTACACATCAGGGGGTTTTTGCCTTTAGACCTGACTTGATACAACCGTGTTACGTTATTTTGTAATAAAAAGTAATTAAATCCCTTTGTCCCTTGACTGAATTGATTATTCAATTAGTCATCCGTGCGTTAGGGGGCGCTGTGACTCATTTGCGCATCATCACCAGCGAAGAAGACTGGAGACAACACGAGGAGGTTTATATGTTACTACCGAAAACAGGTAATGTCATATTTTTAAAAGATGTCAGCTCTGTATCTGTTGTAATACAAACTGAATCCGTTCTCCCCTTTGCGCCTTGTATAGATGATTTAATCATGTTACTGCTGTATTGACAATGAATGGAGTCAATACTGTCAGTCACATAACGGTTGTATAAAAATGTATATGAGATACTAAAATAAAAGAATGTATTTTTACAGTAGCACATAATCAGAATTAACATCATAATACACTACTGTTGCATATTATTCCACCCAGGAAAACTCTTCTGGGTCGTCATGCACGTTTGTCAGCGATGTGTGAGTTTGTTGCTCTCGAGGCCTTTATCTGCAGCTGGCCAGCACCAGCGCTCACATCTCATACTGCTGCAGCACAGCACCAGACAGCCGCCCGTCCACAGACTCTCACAGGGACACAGCAGAGAGACATGGAGACACTTCACGGACCACCAAGCTGGTTCACCAGACGTCTCTAATAAGACTGATCTTGCACAGAAAGAGGTTGTGCCATTCAATTCTGACGTGCATCGAATATCAAGCCAAGTGTCTCTTTCAGATAGTCAAAGTATAGGTATGTATTAAAACTACATATTTGCTTGCATGAGAATCCCTGATTGAGTTGTCATGCTAATAATCTGTCTTGTTTTCTGTAGATTTGGATGTGGCTGTGCGCGCTTCTCCGCTTCAGGAAATCAGCGAGGAGGAAGCAGTCCAGATCCAAGTACCTTCTGCCCTTCCACCAGAATCTTCCACACTCAGACCTTATGTGGATAAATCAGAAACTCTCAGCAAACTGGTTCAGCTCGGTATGTTTCATATCTTAAGTAGGTTATGTTGGATTATTTTGGATTTGTCTAAATTTTTGGTCTTTTTCCAGGTGTCAATCTCTGGGAACTAGAACAGAGACCCAATGTGGGTTCCATGCTGGTTAGACTTGACTTTCATGCCGATGTTGCACCCAGACTACTCTTCCTCAAAGATTTGGGAGTTGAGGAGTCTAAACTGGGCCGACTGCTCACCAAAAACCCCTTTATCCTGACAGAAAGCCTGGACAACCTTGAAGCCAGGTCAGAAAGAGAATGCACACACATATTAAATAAACTGTAGTGCAACACTTTTTTGAACTAATTAGCAGCTTTTAGAAAGATTTGAGACTTGACTTGGCATTGAAACGTCTCTCAGGCTGCCTCATGTGTATTAAATTAATACTCTAGTCTAAATAATTTGACATTTTCTTCTAAAGGATACCTTCTTTCTTTGGTCTATTCATTTTAAGGGTGTCCTACTTGAAGTCAAATAAGTTCAGTAAGCAGTCTGTGGCTGTTATGGTGACCAAAGCTCCATACCTGCTTAACTTCAGTGTTGAGAGACTCGACAATCGGCTTGGATTTTTCCAGAAGCAGTTGGGACTCAGTGCTGAGAAAGTAAAGTGCAATTATGTATATTTTTTTATAGAACAAAAAAGAATCACCATTGAGACCCACTCATGCTTAGAAATGTTTAGTTTGTTTGTTTGTTTAAACAAATAATGGAGTGTTTTTTTACCTCATTTTCATACTGACCTTTAGCATTTGCAGAAGAGCTACATTTACCATGAATGTTGTCATGATTTTTGCTTTCAGACGCGAGATGTTGTGACACGCCTACCAAAACTACTGTGTGGCAGTTTAGAGCCAATTAAGGAGAATCTAAAGGTCTGACACTTTGTTGTTTTGTTTTTCTTTATTATATATATATATATATATATATATATATATATCAGTTAAATGGCCATTAACCGGTTAATAACGTTATTTTATCGTTCCATTTAATATTTGAAATTTGCTGTCAACCAATCAGGAATTCAATTAGCATGGCCTATGCAAATGTGAAGCTGATGCATCCAACGAGTGAAATGCGCGGGCATTTGGATGTGTCCAAGTCGCAATGACAATGCGTTATGCCCGGTTCAGACTACACGATTTTAGCCCGATTTTGCCACGATTTGCTTGACGTAGGGTGTCATGGGGATTCGTAAACGACAATGGGCGTCGGGACGCAAGATTCCATCATTTCAGCACGTGTAGTGTGTCATAGTGGATGACAACTGATTCCGCGTCTGCGATGCTTCACGACAGAAAGAATTTTTTTCCCGTCGTCCATGACGAGTTCTGTCACATTGGTGACGTTGACCAATAGCAGCA